TTCTCTCATCTTGGTTCCCTTTCCCTTTGGTATCTCGAGAGTATTGGATGAAGATGAAACTTTCATCTCCCATTTTTGATTCTTAGATATTTGTTATTTTTCTTTATCCTAACCTAGATTTAAGTTCAATGGACCCCTTTTAAGTATTCTGGGATGGATAACTGGTGGATGAGGAGTATTTCTTCTTTTAAATTTTTGGTTATATTCTTATTCCCCTACAGTCTTTTCGGGTGCCTTTTATGTTAACTTTTCTTTATGTCATCTTTGGTCACTGTCTTTATAATGTTAACTTTTTATTCTTTAAGTGGGGTATCTGTCATCGTTCCCTTTTTTTCAATAGTTTGATTGCTTGCGAGGGAATTTTGACAAGGATTCTGTTTTTAGGAATTTGACATTTGCGGTTGTCTCTAAGGATGGCAAGGATCCCTCATGAAGGTCCATAGAAATAATCACCACCATGGGAGAAAAAGGTCCAACTTGAGGATCCAACAAATTGATCACTTCCTTGGGTGGCAAGAATCCCACTTGAGGATCCAACGAATTTATCCCCTTTATGGGAAGCAAGGATTCTACTTAAGGATCCATTGAATTAATCTCCTTTATATGCATCAAGGATCCCACTTGATCAACTACCAAATTGATCGCCTTAATGGCCGACAAGGATCTCACTTGAGAATCTAGCGAATTGATCGCTTTTATGGGAGGTAAGGATCTCACTTGAGGATCCAGCGAATTGATCTCTTTTATGGGAAGAAAGGATCCCACTTAAGGATCCGACAAATTGATTGCCTCTATGGGCGAAAAGGATACCATTTGGCAATCCAACGAATTGATCGCCTCTATGGGCGACAAGGGTCCCACTTGAGGATCCAGAGAATTGATCACCTATATGGGCAGTAAGGATACCACTTGAGGATCCAAGGAATTGACTGCCTCAATGGGAAGAAAGGATCTCACTTAAGGATCCAGTGAATTGATAGTCTATATAGGTTTCAATGATCCCACTTTGTGATCCAGTGAATTGATCACCTTTATAGACGAGAAAGATCCCACTTGAGGATCCAATGAATTGATCAGCTCTATGGGCTGCAAGAATCCCACTTAAGGATCCAGCGAATTGATTTCCTTTATGGGTGGAAAAGGTCCCACTTGAGGATCCTATGAATTGATCGCGTCTATGGGCAACAAGGATCCCACTTGGGGATCCATCGAATTGATTTCCTTTATGGTGATCTTCCCTTGAGATTTTAGATTTCCTACAAAGAAAGGAATAACCAAAAAATTCTAAAGTAAAAGAAGCGAGGTACCTCATTAAAAAACATTGTCCTATGCAAAATTGCAAAGGGAAAATAGTGCGCCCCACAAAATAATTTATTCTTTATAATCGACAGATATGTAATACTCACCTATAAAAATTTTCAATGAAATAATTAAAAAAAATAAAAATAATAATAATAATAATAATAAATGACTACTATGACGATGTCTCCCAAGAGGATCTCTTCTGGACCTTCAGCCATTGATCTCTTTAGAGTTTGGAGACGAAGTCTCCTCTCCCCTGCAGAATTCCTCCAGTGGATTTATTTCTAAACTCATCCTACTAGCTTTCCTGTCTGGAGTGCGAATGCTCTTCAACTTAAGGTTTTCTGCATAAAACTTCCTGGAGATCTTTTGATCTCTTTGTATAACTCTCATCCGTCCATTTGTGGAAGGGTACTTCATGCATAAATATAGAGTGGACAAGGCAGCGCCCATCCGATTAATGTTTGGTAGCCTTATAATCATATTATATGAAGATAAGGCCTAAACAACCACATACCTAACCTTTATCTCTTTGGCACGATCTTCTTCTCTAAACGTGATCCTCAAGGTGATATGTCCATTTACATGTACTTTTTCTCTATAGAATCTGACCAACGATCTTCTAAAGGGCTTCGGGTCTTCTGGATCGAGGAGAAGTCATTTAAACACCTCCATGTATAGTATGCATGTAGAACTTCCTTATTGTTGAATACTTAAGATGCTTTAAATTGATCCATTATATTTGACATTTTTCATCTTATTTGTTATGTTTCAAAAGATTTATTCCATGTTTTCATGCTATTCTTCAAATATGTTGCAAATACCTTTGGTTGCTTTTATTTGTGTGATATTATGTAGGAATTAGGCATAAAACATAAAATATTAAGGCATAAGTAAATTAACAAGGAAGCCAAAGAAAATGTGAAGATTCAGCATGTTCGCTGGGCAAACTACAACGAGTTGCCAGTGAATATTTGCTAGGCGAAGTAGCATCGAAGTCCTAGTGAGCCATCTGAGATTATAGGCGGTAAGAAAAGGACTCTAAGTTTGATGGGCGAACTTATAGTGAGTGTTTTCTATGAAAAGTTTCAGCAAGGTCCCAACGAACTTGTAGCGAAGAAGCTCGTTGGGCGACGAAATGTTCGCTAGGCGAGTTTAGATATTTTCCCAAGGTCGGTTTAATTGTTCAAAGGCACTTCAGGTTCCATAAAGTAGTCCTCGCTGGGCGAAGAAAGCAATTGATGGGCGAACTTGACAGACTTTAGTTGTACTATATAAGTACTTTTCACACTTTTTGGGGATCATAACCCCATTTTCACATAGAAACCTTATTTTTTCAGCATTTCTTCACCAAAGTGTGAGATTTTACAAATAGAAGCTGAATTCGCATCCGAGTTCGATTCTTAGACGTGAATGCTCATTCATCTTCTCCCAATACTTGTAAAGCAAGTTACCATGGCTATGGGTAGATAATTTCCTTTGTATCAAAGGTAAAGGTAGTCTACCTTAATTTTATGTATTTCTTTTGATTGGCCTTGTACTTGAACAAGTGATGATTAATATATTATGAATATTTTTGTTCTTAATGATTCATTCTTGTTTTGTAAAACTCTAGACATAGATTTTATAGAACTTGACCTAAAATATTCATCTAACGATTTATAGATTGGAGAGACCGGTCTATGGTTGATATTTGCTTTGTATTGAACTTAAAGCTTACTATAATTCTTTTTATATGGAGAGATAATGTAGCAATGAATACGGTATTTCTCACGACGCCGCTCTAGAGATAGATGGTATTGAGAGAATACATGATGATATTAATTGGATCCAACTTCACATGCAATATTGAAAGAATGAGTATAAGTTAAGGTAGATGAAAACTACTTTTTATATAATTTGTTAATCAAACTTTAGAATTTTATAAGCTTTGCTACTAAAATCATGACAATTTATGAAACAAACTTTGAAAACCCTTTTTCTTTGAACGGTAAATTATTGAACGACAAGCATTCGATATTAGAACAATCCATGTGGAGACAACAAAAAAAACCCCTTTTAACTACTGTCACGGTGAGAATTGGATATCAAGCTATTGATTCACTTGAATCGCAAATCATTATTTTCCACCGGTCTTTAATTTTTCCAAGGGAAGGGAAAAAGATCGGAATAACCCATGAGTATGCAATGTAATGCTAGAGAATCTAAGGTTTGAGGGTTGATTATACCTAGGGAAGGTGTTAGCATCCTAAGCATCTGTAGTACTCTACATGAACCTCTTGTTTTATTGTGTTATTGTTGTTTGCTAAGGGTAAGAGACCTAGGGGTTTCTTTCTAAGTATACTCTCCAAGAGATCGCATCTTGTGCCTACGTATCCTGACGGGAATGGAATCAGAGTATTCATAGTTCCCCTAAAGGGACGAGAAACTCTTGACTGTGGTCAAGGTTCCAGGGGGAGAAAGTTTTGTTGATTGATTCTAGGAGAAGAGACAAGTCGTCATCTTGAGGATAATACTCGACTTTAACCACCACAAGCAGATGGAAGACGGTGTTTGCATCGCATTGAGAGAAAGACTCTAACTCAGATCTATAATCGATGAGTATGCCACGTACCTCTCTCAAGCGGAAAATATTCTACATCTTTCTCGATTATGTTATAGGTAGGAGAATTATATCTCGACTACAAAGATGACTAATGTCTAATTCTCTTGTGGGAGAAAAAGGGGATTTAATTGATAAGTTATCTAAGTTGAAATCTTAAAGGGAACCTATCTAAAGACACAAGGAGTATAACTTAAGTTGATCAACCTGGAAGGAAATCAGAGATTGAGTAGGGGAAATGATGCAAATGAATAATGCATCGCGTATGACTTATAAAGTCACACACAAGTTCTTCCATTGGACACAAACATATGCAATAATAAGGATTTAAAGACCATAAATAATTATGAAGTAAAATAAGTAATCAAGAATATGTGGTTAAGCAAAGATTGATCATGAAGTTCGGTTTGAAAGGGGAACTATTGGCATGATGTTATCATGCAATAGGATTAATCCTAATATCTAATTTAATTCAAATTATTAGAGATAAAGTTGAATTAAAAACTTAAAGGAACATGTAGATCACAAAGCACTGAGAATGCATGTCATGATTATTTAACAGTCATCAAGATTTCACAAAGCTTGCAAGGTTAATAGTCAGAGTAAGTCTCAAGATCAATTAGGATTTATTTTAATCAATTGAAAAATTCATTAATTAATTAGAGTTTAGAGTTTCAAATAATCAATTAGAAAATTAATTAATTAGATTGTTAATGTTAGAGGTTTAGTCAACATCTAAACAACATTAACCCACGTAAATGATAAAAAAATCAAAAATAAAACTTTATAGTAAAAAAACAAATAAGACTAAAAGTTAAAAAACAACAAGAAAAAGGGGAGAACACATTTGAAGTGAGGATTGGTAATAGACACATGAGCCTTCATACATAGGCCCGAGGATGCCAAAAAAAAAGGAAGGTTTTAAAAAAAAACAGATGGGCCGAAGCCCCCAAGCCCGTCTAATTCATACTCTGGGATCATCAAGCATAATGAGGGTCTTGTAAGAACGTTCCTATCACTTACACCTTTCCTGTTTTTCCTCTCGCGAGCTTCCCCTTTTTTCGCTTGCGCATCGACTCTCCCTCCATCACAGCGAATGCTTCTTCTACTCACTAATTACACCACCAGCTACCTCCTTCTGTCAATTCTTCCCCCTCCGTGGAACCAGAACGAAACACAAGACCCACCGCGCCATTGCGACAGTGGAGGAAAATCGAGATTCTCCCTCCCTCGCGTGAAGCCTCGCTCTCTCGCTCGTCTCACTCTAACATACAAAACTTTCAAACAAACAAAATGCAGACTACGGCTAAAGCGAAAAAGTTTGAAATCGAAACGAGTTACCTTCGACGAATTCGACACAGTGATGACAACTTCTAGGTATTGAACCCTTCGTGTTCCTCCTAATGTATGTTGTTTGTGATTTGTGATAATTGCGTGAATTTTGCTTCAATTATTGCGTATGATTGCTACTATTTCCTTATTGCTACTGATGCGTAATCATTTTCTTATCTCTATGTATCTCCTATGTGGTTGTGATTTATAGGAACTCATGCTGATCCTGAATTGAATGCGAGAAATTTTGTCGGGTTTTGTTTTAGAAGGAAATTGATATTGTTTAGAACCTGTTTTGGAAATGATATATGTTGCTGGGAACACATTTAGTCATGTCTTGAGAGTCTGATTTCTTCATGAATGTGTTTCTGTTTTCGTATCGTCATGCTTGTAGACAAATTGAAAGCTTTCCTATTTTATTTTGACCTGTTTTTGGACTGCTTTAGAAAGAAACAAATTTATGTTTTTATGAATCATGAATTAACGTATCTTTTTGTTCATCATGGCTCAGGTTTGTATTTCTTCTACATTCTTCATCCATCTCCAATGCCTTGAGACAATGACGGGCCAAAGTGGATTGAATGCCATAAGCTACAGCATAACTGGTGAGACCTGTTTCAAGGTTAGAGTGGTGGCTCATGCGTGATTGCGGCTGCAAGCATGTTTTAGGGGCAGTGATCTCTTCATTTCGTGTATACCTCTCCTTCTTGTGGGTGATTTTAAACCTCCTGACTTCTAGTTTGCATTGTTTGTGTGATAAAAGAACTTCATTTCCATACCGACATGTTCGAACATGTCTTGATGTCTTTTCCTTTCTGGTTTGGCAGGTTTGAGTTTCGGCAGAAGTGTGCGAAGGATTCAAATCCACTTGAAGCCTTTGTGGGTTTTTTAGTTGAAGAAAAACAGTCCGTAATTTAGTGATACCATCATAGGAGTAAAACTTGCTGCCATGCTGCTTCGAGATCATGTTTATCCAAAACAATGCTGACACATACGAAGTCGTAACGATAGAATCTTAGTCGTAGACATGACGCTTCACTATCACGTTCAACAAAAGCGATGCTTGTTGTGAGCTTCTAATTCAAATAAGAGGATTTGTGGCTATGAAACCAACTTTTCCTTCGGTTATTGTTTCTTTGGGAATTGTTTTGACAGTAGCAGTGATAGGTTTGGTGGTGTTTGGGTTAATACTTGTATTCTTGTGAAACACAACTTTTTGTGTTGTATCAATTAGTAGTCTTGTGAAACCTTTATGCTATTGTCTTGGATGGAATGGAAATGTGGATGGATTTAAACTTGTCACAAGTGTCTTAGATACAAAATGACAGTAGGTAGAAGGTAATGCCATGAGGTACTTAAATTTTTACTCTCGCCTCCTCTGTTGCATATTAAGTTTTTTGACTAAAAGTTATCCGTTGATGTCCAAGTAAGTTTGAATGAATATATTATTTTAAGTGTTTCTGTGGCAAATTATGTACTATTAGAACCATGCAAATTCCTCATAATCCCGCTTCGTACTCTTATTCTCATATTATTCTCTAACTTGATTTGCAAACTTGAAAGGATTGAATGATCCTATATTCTTGGCTTAGTACTTGCACTTTAGATGAACTCGCGATATTGCATGAATAATTTGAATTCGAGGCTTGTAAAGACGAATTAGTTAACTCAAACTTATAAAGAGGATGAACCTCATCTGTTAACCTCTTGCTACAACTTAACTTAAGCTTTTTATCCAAGCTCACCATTTCATAACATATTGCTCACAAACTTGTTTCCCATATATTTGAAGATTTAAATGATGTTGAACTTATCACATGAACTATTTCCTGAACATAAGGATGCAACTTGTAAATTTCATTTGTTACGAAAACTATAACCTCCTTTAAAAGACATGATTCTCCTCTGAGAAAACTTGAGGGAGATGTCCTAGATTCTTGATAAGAACAAACTTAAACCTTAGTTTCACGAAGGAAATAACTTGAGTTGATCTCACAAGATTCAATCCAGTAGGAAATCCTGGGGTCTCTGAATCGGAATCCGTTGATCGCGTTTTAAAGTATTTGACTAAGAGAAAGAGTATCATCATCACTTGAAATAGTTGTTCCTGCACAAAGTAGTTAGTCATTACGTACGCATACAAAGACTATATGACCTAGAGATGTTATGCCAGATGACGCACAAACAGGTGGGATCTTAGGGTTAAAACTAGGGTATGGCAACTACGATTCGAATTAAATGACACTGTTGCTGAGGATTGTTATTGATATTGTAAGCATTGAAATAGTTTATTGATTTTAAGATCTTTACATTGTGATCTCATACCTCTGTTTATTTTTCTTATGCTGTTTAGTTTGTTAGGTTAAGTGTGCTGATTCTGTTAATGCGAGGGGTGTACATGTAGACCAACTTCTTTTTGATCCTGAGATTGAAAGAGCCACTCGGAAGCTCAATAGCAGAACTTTGCAGAGTAGGAAAATTTCCAAAGAAAAATGAGAGCACAAAGAAACTTCTTCATCTACACCCATTGTTACACCAAACATGGTAGATCCACCACCACCACCACCTACTCCAACCCCGTGTGTTAACTGTCCAAGATACAACGGTTAGTTCGTATGAAATACCAACAACGGAAAGAATTCTGAGATGAAGACGGGAATCCTAGCCCTTTTATATGAAAAACCCTTTGCGGGGATGGACCATGAGGATCCGTTTACTCATCTCACGAATTTCTATGAGATAGCGGGTGCAATTGGAGCACCGGAAGTCGAAAAGAAATCTTTGTTCAAGAGACTATTCCCGCATTCCTTATTTGGGAAGGCGAAGGAAAGGTATCTTAACCAATCTACTCTTGTGATGATGGATTAGAACGTTTTGGAGGAGAAGTTTCTTGAACGGTTCTTCCCTCAATCTAGATTTATAGAGGCCAAGACTTCGATTTCGGTATTAGTGCAAGGAGGAAGTGAATATCTCAACGAAGCTTGGGAGAGATTCAAATCTATGCTGAAAAAGTGCAAAGGCCATGGTTTTGATGACTTGACTCAATTGCACATATTCCACAACAGATTTCAACCAGTTCATAAAACTCTTTTGGATGTTACGAAGGGTGGTTCTCTAATGTCAAAAAGTGTGGAAGATGCAGTGTACATCATTGATAGGATGGCATTAAATGATCATCAAGGTTAACACAATTGTGGTACATCATTAGGAAAGCCGGAAATTATCGAGTTGAGGATGAATAATGCTATTCTTGCTCAAAATAAATTACTCTCACAACAAGTGAAGTTGTTGACAAAGCAAATATCAAAACTTCCACAACAAATCAAAGAAATGCAAGAAGTTCCCAACAAAGCTCAACAAATTGCAAGTTGTTAATTTTGAAAAGGTGATCATTCAACCAGCTATTGTCCACCGGTCGTTGAAGAACCAACTTTGTGGGAAACCAGAATCAAGGCTATCAACCAAGACCACTATATCAAAGCAATAACCAAGGCTACTAACCGAGAGGTAATATCCAAGGTTACTAGCAAGGATGGAGACAAGAGCCGGGAAATTATAACTGTCAACCTTACCAAAGTTACTACCAACCTTAACAACACCAAGGTGGAAGTTCAAAGATAGATGAAACTTTTAACCAATTCATGAAAATGTCTATCTCTACTCAAAAGTGTACGAATGTAGCAATTCGAAACCTTGAAACTCAAGTTGGACAATTGTCCAAGCAATTAGACGACCAACATAAAGAAACCTTTTCGGATAATACTCAAGTGAATTAGAAGGAATCTTGCAAAGCCATTTTTACTAGGAGTAGGAGAACAATTAATGTGGAAGAAGTTGAAAAGGAGTATGAAATTGTGGAAGAAGTTGAAAAAAATAATGATAAAGAGTTAGTTGAGAAGGAGGAAGTAGAGACAAAGTTAAGAGAGGAGAAGTTGAAAAAAAAGTAAGAAAAGAAAGGAGCATGAGAGTGAAGTTCTAATGAAAAAGTTGCAATATCCTAATGCTCATACGAAAAAAGACAATGAGAATCATTATGCTAGATTCTTTGACATATTTAACCGGTTGCAAATACCCATTCCATTTTCCGAAGCTCTAGAGCAAATGCTAAAGTATGCAAAATTCATGAAAGATATAATTGCAAAGAAAAAGAGATACACGGATAAAGAAACCATTGAGCTTATTGCAAATTATAGTGTTATCGTCCAAAGCATTCTTCCACAGAAGGAAGGAGATCTGGGAAGAGTAGCTCTACCTATAACTATAGGTAGTGATTTCAAGTGTAAGGCTTTGGTCGATATGGGGGCTAGTCCTAACTTGATTCCTTGCCCGTGGTGAAAAGACTTGAGAACATGGAGATGAAATCGTGATGGTAAGGTTCCTTATTACGTTGTTTAATGATGTCAAAACTAGGAAAATTTCGTACTTGTGTATTTTGGATGGTATCACCTTGGCTTAGCTTGCACTCATTCTTTTAACATGCGCATAATGATCCACATACATGAATATAGGCACTTAGGATCATACTCTATGTGTAAAATGTGTTTTAAATCATGTTTGAAGCATTTGGTTGACACATACTATGCATAGGTCCACACTGTTAGATGCCAAACTTTGCATATTTGATCTATCAAATGTTGGCATCTTTCATTCTTTTTGTAGAGAAATTGAATTGAATCATTCTTGTTTTTGATGATATGCTTCATTGTGTGAAAATGTCTTGGTTGCTTTGATTTGCATGTTATTGTGCAGGAATTAGGCATGAAAACATGAAGAATAAGACACAAGAATTTTGACAAGGAAACCAAGTCAGCAGCAAAACATCAAAAAGTTCGCACAGAAAACTTCCTAGCGAATCTACCCAGAAAAACATCAACAAGTTTGCATAGAGAACTTGCCAGCGAAGGCCTTATAAAGCATGGTACTGTTCATACAGAATGAAAAGGAGCCTAAGTTCGTTGTGCGAAGGAGCTAGCGAAGAGTTCGCTGGAGCGAAGAAAAAGCGAGTGCCTAGCGAACACCCCCAGACTTGAGGCGATAAGTATTTGGACAAGAATTTTCTGTGCAAAGTTTGCAGCAAAGCCTTCGCAATGCGAAGGATTCTTCGCACAACGAACATGTGGAAATAGCTCAGGGGCGAGTTCACTCTATGCTGGCACTTCAACTGCCATTTTGATTGTTCTCTACGCGAACATATTATTTGCACTGTGAATATGACAGCTCAGCAGCATGTCTATAAGTAGCATGTACTACTTTTTGCCAAAATATCTTTTTCTTTGTATTTTTCATTGTTAGATAGTTTTCAGCACAAAAACCCTAGTTTCTCCATTTTCATTATCTCTTAGCCATCTTTCATAAAAAGAAGGTGGATTTGCATCCAATCTCGATTATTCGACCTGGATGTTGATCAACCTTCTTCGGAAACTTGTTGCTTAAGCTATCATGGAAATGGGTGGCTAAAACCCCTCTTTTGTCAAGGTTAGAGGTAGATATTTCTTATTTTATGTATTCTTCTTAATCTTTTGTATGTGAACAAGGCTTTGGTCAATATAGATGAAGTTATTTG